TTTGCACTATATTTAGTGACTGATATTGATCAAAATAACTGTGATAATCATTTCCCTCCATCCCACGTGACTCAATAAAAGTCCAAATACAACTCAACTTCTAGACATTTGCTGTTGAGATCTCTAAGAACTTGCTGTTCTTAGAGATCTGCATTGATTCTGGACTGAACTTTGTCTTCGTCTAACCCACAAAAAAAGATATTTTTAAGACAGATATATTTCACAGGCTACTCAGATCGCAAAGCTATGAATGGATTCCATGCTAAAAGGGACCATTAATATGGTCAGTGAGGAAATGAACCTCTCAGAGATCAGCTAACAGCTTGAGGAACTTTACACGATAATACTACAGATCGTGGATCGGAAGAGACCAGAGGACTGGCCTGTTTAAGGCTTCTGACCTGAAAAAGACACGCTGTTAGATCATTCCTGCTGTCCAGTCATTCATAATCTCTGAACTCAGTTGAAAATGTTGTTTTTCATTCAAATTTCCCAAAACCTCCCTTTTGTACGTTTGCTATTTTACATTTAGTGACTCACTTTTCACTGCAATGCCTTTTGAATACCACTAACGAGAGAGTTGGCTTTAAGCTACTGAGAGCTTTTAGTGAAAATATACGGTTCCATGTGCAAATAAGTTGTTTTGAAGCAAAATCAAGCACATGTTTTAAAAAAGTCCTTGGTTCTCTATATTTCTGCTCTAAGCCATCCATCCATTCCACTGATCCAAATCAGGGTTGTGGGGGTGCTTGAGCCTACCCCAGATGCCACAGGGCGAGAGGTGAAGGACACCCTGGACAAACAGACTGTTACAAAACTAACACAGAAACAGCCACAGAGGCGGGAAGGTTAGCGCTGTTGCCCCACAGCAAGAAGGGCCTAGGTTTGAATCCAACCTGGGGGCTTTCTGTGTGAGCCAGAATAGTTGACTGTTGCTCAGCTTAAACACTGCTAAAAATGTGTATTTCTATGATATATTCTAGTTTGCTGTTAAATGTCAGGTCTTCCAGTTTCATTTCTGTCATGTCACAAGAATGAGATGAAGCTTTGCTCAGAGCTTCGAGTGCAAGAAGCAGGAGGAGGAGTTCAAATTAACAAAGAGAATGTGACTCCCTGGAGGGAAAAACACCCACAAGTCTGTCTACACTTGGCCTACATACTTCCCGTTAGAGACTTCCCCACACCAGATGCTTCTCCTGCTGCAGAATCTTACTATCAGTTCCTCAAGGGGGTCCAGAAACAGTGCAGCAGCAGTAGTCCAGTAACTGGGACTTCTACAGGACATGTGCAGAGACCCACCTCAACCAAAGGCGCTGTACTGATGCGGTAAAAACCTCTTATCACCTTGCTGCACACACCCCTCACTCACGTGCTTCAGAAGAAGTTAAAACGCAGGCGCACACAGCTCACGCCTCCTCTGAAAGCACAGAGGTCTTCTTTTCAGAGGGTTAATGGGAAGAGATTGCAGGCTAAGTGAAAGGGGGAGTAACCTTATAAAGAAGGGTCAGAAGGACACACGAGCACATGCAACCTGCTTTTGTACTGTACACGCAAACGAGAGAGACAGGAGTAAAGCCACGAAGCCAGAGAAGAGCAAGAACGTATATAAAAAGGACGGAACATGAAGCGATGGGGTTTGTTGACTGAGTGAAGCAAAGTACAAATTTATTGATCTGGCCAGCTCTAACGTGTACTCGCTGCCTAAACACAAAGCCTAGCAAGAAAATATCTGCTGTTAAAGAACCTGTGCATGAAATCAATGCTGCAGCACGTTTATAGAAAAGCCATAATGTCAGTGAACTCTTTTTACGCCCGTTACTGTTCAAGAACAAAACCAAGCATCCACAAACCAAAGACATTCAAACAGCTAAAGCTCAGAGCTGACAGCTGGATTCAGAAAATTCTATCATCCATGAATCCATGCATTTACTTCACTTTACTATCTTTGTTTTACTTTACAGTCCACTGCATATTCATTTAGCTATTCCAATCACAGGTTTTCCACAGTATGATGTTGGGATGCACCAATTCCAGGCTGGGCTAAGAAACAAATCTTCATTATAAAAGATAAACAGAAACAATCTTTAGCCACCGCAAACATTAATGCACACGTAAAGCAGGCCATGCCTAGTGGCTTGACCAGGAGGCTTCACCCAGGCAGGTAGAATATACAGAATATGCAGGGTGGTGCATTTGCATCCCCGGGGCTTGAATCTAAAAGGCCACAACACGCCTGCACAGATCAAATTGGCCTCTGTGTAGTAACTGCAGCTCTGGGATTACAGCTATGGCAACGACAGACCTGCAAATAGCGCAGCTCTGCCTGCCTTCATGGTGGATGCTGCACCAGCCTGAATGTCAACATCTTTGGCATTTCACAGATTTTACAACCCGAGGTCTATTCACCGAGGCAGTCTTACTGACAGTGACCGTCAAGGGGAGAGGCCTCATGATGGAGAGACTCTTCTCTCATCCCCCCCGGCCCACCCCACTATCAGCCAATCAAGAAGACAAGCACATGTTGGATGGGTTTGCTTAGTGTGGGTGAAAGTGGTCAATGCAAATGAAGTGACTCCATGCAAGCAATTCATCTTCAAGAAAACAAAAGACAAATTATAAAAAAGCTCAAAAGGAAGCATACGGTCTGATGAGAGCTCGTCTCAAACAAAAAAACAGACACTTCACTGTCACCTGACTGAGAAACAGTCACATCTCAAAACCACCTAAAGGACAGAAATGCAACGATGATTCAATGCACGGACTACTTCTGCTCCTCCACTGCAAAAATTCACTGCTGCTTTAAAAGGACCTTAAACTGATTCTGTTATTATTTGGCTGTGAAATACTGCGATGGTCATTTTTTCACTTGTTTCCGACATTTGACAGGAGGGGGGAAATATGCATGACACATGTTAATCTATTAACTGCTAATGAAAAGGACTGTTTGTCCCAGCACAGAGGAGAAGAAGAATAACAACAACAGCAAAAACAACAACAACAGGCCTTTTACTAGGGGTGCAACGATATTCGTATCGATATTGAACCGTTTGATACAGTGCTTTCGGTTCGGTACGCATATGTATCGAACAATACTAAATTTTTAATTTATTTTATCAACTTTCCTTCTGACGATGCTGTCTGTGTTGAGCGCTCAGTGAATCTGCGTTCGACTACTCCGCCTAGGCTCGACAGTGCAGCCTAGGCGGAGTAGTCGAACGCAGATTCACTGAGCGCTCAACACAGACAGCATCGTCAGAAGGAAGAGCGCAGGGCAAGCTAGCGAGACAGAAGTTAAGCTCTCCTTGTAACATGGACCTCCCCCACCCTCATTCAGATCTGGCGTTTGGAATTATTTTGGTTTTCATGTGACGTATGACCCTGAAGGTAAGCGAGTCATGGACTAAAGTAAAACAGTATGTTGGATGTGCCATGCAATGCTCAATTACATGGGTGGGAACTAGTGTGTTAGCGCAGTTAGCTCGTTAACGTGTTGGCCGTCTAGCCCCATGCACGGGGCGATCGGCGGTAGCTCGTTAACGGAGATTTGCCGTGTTGTGGCGTTAAGGTCATTTCAACGAGATTAACCTGAAAGCACTAGTGGGAACACAACGAATATAACTGTACGTTTACGCTAACATCATCCTAGTGCAAAGACAAAAACAACAAGCATGCTACTAACTTTAGCCCAGTCATTTAGACAGCTGTTAGCACATGATTCTCCTTATGCTGCTGAGAATATAGCCCAGAAGAAGCGGATAGTATAGCTTTTATTTGGGAAAGAGACATTTCTCTGTAATAAACTCTCTTTTCCAAAGATGAGTGATTCCTCAATCAGATACAGGGCTTGCAATATCGCTAGCCCGACGTCCTGGAGCTAGCGATCTTTTCAGTCGGGCTACCAAAATCTATCTCTGCCCTGCCCGTCGGGCTATTGTAGGAAAAATATATGTCAATGCTTTTGCATTCTTTCAGAAATGTAGCTGGGTAATTATGTCATTGGCATCGGTGAGCCACTGTCAATATGTGACATATTGAAATCGCGTTTGAATTTGCGCTTGTTTTTTTGCTTTCACTTTGCAATGACAGCACTGATCTGTGAGTGATGATAATTTGTGCACCAATTCCTCTGACATCGTCTTATTAATCGTTAGCTTACTATGCAAACATGACAAGTGAAATCTCCCGCAGCTTAAACATGTGAGAGGTTGATCGCGCAGAGAATCGCTGAGCTTATGTGAGTGCGCGTGTAAAAGCAGCAGGATATATATTTGACTACGATGACCTTCACAGACAGATATATATTTTAGTTCTGCTGAGCCAAATAAGACAGGTCAGGGCGAAGAAGTGACAGCCAAAGAAAAGCTTACCACAAAACTGAGAAGTTATGACAAATCAGACTATAAGGCAAAAAGAAAGTGCAGCTTTATGGTTTCATGGACAAAAGAATTTCTGTGGCTGCAATATGATGAGCTAAATAACCAGGGCTGCAAATAAGTGGTCCGCAGGTGCGCATTCGCTGTCAAAATAAAAAACACGCACAAGGGTTAGGGTTAAATTTAAAAACTGTACTTTTGAGTTAAAATATATATTTATAATTTTAATAAATGACAAATTAAAAAGGCATGAACATTTCTTTTTGTATCGAAAAAATATCGAACCGTGACACCAAAGTATCGAACCGAACCGAACCGTGAATTTTGTGTATCGTTGCACCCCTACCTTTTACATATCCAAAAGAAGACAGGCAGCAGATCTGTTAAATAAACCAAATCCACCTCCGCCTGTCAGACCTGACAAGGACTGAGAGGAGAGCATGTTTAAGTGGAAACTAGTCAGTGGATAAGTGTGTGTGTTGTGTTTTAGTCATGTAGGTGAGCAAAGAAGGCAAACACAGAGAGTTGACTGTGACCTTTTACTGTCACAGCTTTCTCAGTGTCACATGTTCCAGCTGTTGTTTCTCACATTGATCTGTGGCTGCTTTGGGGGAATCAGAGCCTCACCTTTGAGCAGGGGCAGCGGGGTGAGCTCCACCTGGGAGCTCTGGTAGCGGAACTGAGAGGAGCTGTGGGACCTCCTCTGTCGGGCCCTGCGCATGGACCTTCGAGGGAAGCCATCCACCTTCTCCGCGGACGGCACCGAGAAGCTGGTGGTCGGCGAGGACGGGCTGGACGGAGGCAGCTTGGTCGTCTCCATGATGGCTGGAGGTGGAGGTGGTGTGGATGCTTTTGCGAGTGAGTGTGTAACGAGGGGGAATGTTTATTAAGAGGATGTAAGGCTGAATAAAGCAGAGGATGAGGGTGGAGGGGGGGGGGGAGTGGGTGGCTATCTGAATCACAGATGGATTATCAACTGATCAGAATAAAAAAAAAAAGCGGCTCCAGGGGTGGTGGTGGTGGAGGAGGAGGAGGGAGGAGGAGGAGAGGGGTGAGAGATAGAAAGTATGGATGGGGGAGAAAGGTGCAGAGGCGGAGGAGAGGTGAGGAGAGGTGAGAGAGAGCTAGATTTTCTAGGGGTCCAGTCACGTGCTGCGCGCCTCGTTGTCTCTATCAGAGCCGGACTGGAAATGGCATCTTCGTCATCGTCATCATCATCCTCGAAGCTTCAGCTTTTCACACACAGATGAAAAGAATCGCTTGTGTATCATCGCCGTGCAGGAGTAGCTTGGAACAGCTACCAGATGATGCTCAGACAGGCGCGTCTCCTCCTCACACACACACAGACACACACACGCCTCTGCTGCTGCTGCTGCTGTATTGGCGTCACACACCGCCTAAGTCATCAGCCTGGATTTGGATGTTTATTTGCTGTATGATATCAAGCAGCTGAGCTCCTGATAGGCTTAAAAAATAAAGACAAAAAGCACCTCCTGTTTATCGGGATCAGACGCAAACAAACGCCCTCCGTGCCACTTCACAGCTTCTTCTCCTCGATTTTTTTTATCAATAAAAATCAGTGCTCAGTCCTGGCGGTGAATGATGATATCATAAAATCATCAATCTGGGCCCACTTCAGCTGCGGCATCACTGTTGTCCTCCTGCCTCGTTTCCCCCCCTCTGTAATGGGTCCTTCTTTAAACCGTTAAAACCTGATATTTCTTTTTTTTTCTTTGATTTCTTTGAAGGCTAAAGATGTTATAGTCCACTCAGCCTCTGCCTCCTCCTGCCTTCCTTCAACCGTATCAGGGCGGGGAAACAAGCGGTCCCTCACCGCACCGACATGTGCAGGTCCTCCGATGTAACGGCGAGCCCCGCAGCTCCGCTCGGCGTCTCCCTCCGCGGTCAGAGGACAGGGAAAAAAGGTAAATGAAAGAAAAAAAGAGGCCGCTCCTCCGCGCAGGGGCAGCCGGCAGAGGAAAAGCTGAAGGCCTGTGTTATACAATAGCAAAACCGTCTGCGTCTGACACACTGACGCGGTTTTTTTTGTTTTTTTTTTCCTCCTGTACCCCCTTCTCCGTTCCCGTTATCCGGTTGTCCTACAGCGACTCAATGAGCTGCGTCAACATGCACGCGATGAGTCGGAAACATACCGGAAATGAAGCTTCATGACTTTCAAAATAAAATAGGCTACCTGTGCAAGCGTGTGTCTGGATTGCGGAAATCAAGCCCCTTTTCATAGACTGTACATAAAAGATGATAGTAGACAAACTGACGTCACTTTTTGTCAGTGACGTTTCCTATTCTATATCAGCAGCTACTTGAAAATCACAAAAGAATAAAGAGTAACAATAATAATGGCCAATAAGGCCAGTACACCAGCGCCGCAACATCATCACACAGTCACTTTTATTAATGCTCGCCGTTAAGGTGCTTTGAGACTCTGCAGCATCCAGTAGTATTATTTTGCTATTTCCATATAGTTGTGTATGTTGTACCGGTGCACGCTACAAGAAGTACAAGTGCACTTGTTGCCAAATGCAGTGATCTGATTGGTTAAATCTGTGTGTCTGGATCTGGAAATTGAGCTTTGTTCAAAAATTAAATGCTGCAAATTCATCCAGCAAAATTACTCGGTCAGTGTGAACGGCTGTATTAATGATAAGTGAATCCCAAAAATCTTTTTGATTAACGATATATTTTCACAAAACTTTTCTAAATGCCTTAACTGTGACCATAATTTATAAAATGAACGTCACCCTTTAATAAATAAGACTGGAAACTAGTGGCCTTGACCTCTAGTCCCTGGTCCCAGGTAATTCTAAACAACTGTACTTCTGCTTTACAACCAGAGGAGTAATTGTGAGAGCAATTGTGGCTTAACTTTTCAGACCTAAAAGCTGTTTTAGCCTGTGAGGGTTACTGGTGGAGCCTAAGGGCTTCTGTGTAGTCACAAAAAAGGAAACTTCAGAGATCTAAATAGATTTTAATACGGCAACCCCTTAAGACAGCTCCTCAGGATCATCATGGATGTCAATAAGCCTGGTTACTTTGGTAACTGCAGTGCTATTGGACTGAAGCATTAACGTGCAGGTAGAGATGAAAGCAAGGTTGAAAGTCTCTTTTTGATTTCTCTAGTTCAGTCTAGACAACAACAGCAAGATGTACCAAATAAAAACTGAGCTCAGGAATTCTTTCTTTATAAGTATAATGGATGCGCAGAAAGAACTTCTTACTCGTTCTGTTCTACACAGATACTTTCATGGTTAACAGAGAAAATCCAACATGTTTAACTTCTTTTCGTGTACAGGCACTAAGCACTAAGGCGGTCAGCTATGATGAATCTTCTCTGGCATTTTTCACTGCGGAGTACAGGCTCAGCCAGCAAAAAATAAAAATAAAAAAATAAAGATTTTATTTTGAAAGCGCTGAGCAGATGCTGCCTCGTCTCACTCTCCGCGTCTTGACGCAGGTTCCTCAGCCTTGAGGTGGTGCAAGGAGAGAGAGGAGTGAGCCTCCTCCACTGCGGATGACGCTATATGATGGAGTTATTTATTTATTTGCCTTTATTTACGCGTGGCCGGCCCTGGCTTTTTAAAGCCGCTCGATTATAAGCAGGTGTTTCATCGGCGTTCCTGCTCTTGCCGCACCACCTTTGGCTTTCTCACTGCCGTTTCATCCAGTAAAGAAATATCCCCTCCTATCCTCCATCAGTGCACCGCTTTGACGCTCACCGCCTCCCCCCCATTCCTCCCCCTCCCTTTTCCCCCATTTTGCTCTCCTCCTATTTGAGGTGAAGCTGGCTTTGAGGATCAAGTCCCATCCATTGTTCTTCAGCCCGCTCAGCCACTTGCTCGCGCTCACTCTCTCGTGTAAGCACACACGCACGTGCATTTAAAGGCGCATTTATCCGCGCCTTTCATCTGTTTCTCAAAGTCACACACACACTGATTTTCTCCCCATAAACACACACAAGCCTATTTTGTCTCATAGAGACTACAGTGCAGTAAGTGCTGTAACTGCGCATGCGTCCTTTGCTTTACATTACACCCTTGTCCCCTATGTGGTGTATCAGGTGAGTTCACCCAGTCATCTTCCGGGATAAAGACACACACACAGAGTTTACAGTGTGGGTCAGGGCAGCATTGATGCTCTGCTTTACATTTGCTATCAGGGAGGCTGTGGTGCTGTTAGAGACGCGCGCTGGTTAACCGACATTCAACAGCATTTTGGAGCTTTTTATTAGAGCAGTCTACAGTTGTTAGCTGTGCACAGTGGGCATTGTGGAGTCTGTTGGGGCCCCTCCAACCAGCATTCATCACCATTATGTTATGAGTAGTCTGACAGCACCAACAGCAGTCCTCTAAAACAACAAGGAAAACATTACTACAGCAGAGACCTTGTTTATTTTAGCAACAGTGACCAAGACCAGGTTGTCTGGTTATGCAGTGTTAATACTATAGAGTGCTGTGCAAAAGTAACTCCTCATTCTGTTATGCTTTGACAGAAACAAGAGGAATAGATGCACTGGTTTACTGAAAGGTTTGCAAACATATGAGGATATAAATACCAAAAATAGAGTTTGTACAGTTATTGAAAGTCACAGCCTGAACTCTCGACATTATTTTCAGTAATCTTCAGGAAAAGTTCTCCAGGCTTCTTGAAGGACATTCAAAGCTCTTCTTTGGATGTTGACTGCCTTTTGTTTTATCGCAGTGAGACTATTTCTGTCGAGGCTTCTGTGAACAAGTGGATCCGTTGAAGGTCCAGATGCCACTGCTGTAGTTTAAGGTTTCTCAGCCCTCAGGGCACTACCAGGCACCCGGTGCCCCGAGCAGTCATCTGCCTTGCCTGGTGTCAAGAAGCACATCCAGCTATATATTACAGAATTTGCATAATTCTGCTAATAGACCCCAAACAAATATTCATATGTTGTGTAACAGCATATGAATGAGTGAGCTGAACTGCTTGAAAATTGTACTGTATTATAAAATAAAAAAATTTAAAAACTCAATCAGGACAGTATTTTTTTAAAAGCATAAAACCGATTTTAATATAATTTTTATTATTAGTTTCCTTGTTCAATATATTATTTGATCCATGATAAATACAAATACTACAAAGCCCCACAACTGCCATATGCACAAATATACAGGTATACCATATAGGCTGAATAGCAAATATATAAAATAAAAATAATAATTAAATGAAAGGATCGCTTGGAAAAAACACTTTTTTCAGCAGCAGTTTCTTTAAAAGACATTAACCCACCTCCTGGTTCACAGGGTCAAACCACTTGAAATGAGCACAAAAAATGTACTAAAACATAAATTGTGTTAAATTGTCAGTTTGGACCAACAATTTTATATTTTTTATGGAAAGCAAGAGCTGCATCAAATATAGCATCTGATTTATAGAAAGATTTTTTAAAATTACAAATGAATTAAAATTACAGGGTAATTATTGCTCCCAATCCACCTGAAAAATAATGGGTGAAAACCATTACTCCATGCACAGCATACTTGTGTGCACCCCCCATCACCCACCCCTTGACATCCAGAAATTATTTTTATTTCTACGTCATCTATAATTATCCTTTTGGGCTCTATGAACAAACATAAAATGAATAACTTCAGCAACAACAGCTGCAGGTCCGTCTTCAACCTTTTAAAGTTTTCGTGGGTTTACATCATCCTGATGTCTACATCATCAGTGAGATATGTTCCTTCTGATTCATTTATGAGGGATAAATTGCAAAAATATGCAGGGTGCAAATTAATAGTTACATTTTTTTTTTTGTTTAAATGTCGTTAAAAGGTTAAATAAACACTCCATTTTCAATAAAGTTTGAATTTTTAGGTAATCGTTTCACAGTTCAGGCTTTGAAGGGTTAACCAGTCAACGGTTATACATAAGAGGTTATTTATTCTCATAGTGTGCTTCTACATGGAAGTCATGCTTGTATAAGCAAGTCATAAGAGTGCGTGACAAAAAAAACAGACCAAACAAACACTAACACGTTCCTATACAAGACTTTAAAATGTTATAAACATGATCTGACTCGACCATTGTCAATGAGCTACACTGTTAGAGAGTTAGCTCCATCCGGTCGTTAAGTGATGACGCGACGAATCCTACTTCCGGGCCTAAAGTAGCCTGCGTTTAATATGGCTTTTGTGTTGTTAACATGTTTAATGTTTTGTATTTTCTTCTATTTAATCTCAAAAAGCTCCTAAAACAGTCAGTGATCACTGTTGACCTCCCTCGGATTTTATTACCGCTAATCATTTATTTAAACTCAGTTTTTAAAACCTTAGGATGTAACTACAGCCCAGCCCATGCAGCAGTATATGAATGACTAACCTCGTATTGTGGATGGATTATCTCAGTTGTTCTCCTGGCTGAAGTTTGGTCCTTTTACAGCATCCTGCCATGCGATTACATTTGTTCCTGACCACCGAGAACACTCACGTTAACTCTTATCGAGTGGAAAAAAAGTTAGCTTGTTTATATTATGCTAACATAGCTGTGTCGCTAGCGGTCACGTAGCACATCATTATATACCAGCTAGCCCAACTTCAGTAACCCTACAAACGTCACTGCTGTTTAGTTTTCTGTCTTCATTTATGTTGGAAGTGATAACAGAGCTGTACGTTTTAATTTGTTTCCAAAACCCCGCAGTCAGGACATGCTATATTGTATTTAGATAGAAGCTAGCGAGCTAACTTCCTGCTAACTTCTAACTCCGTTAAATGTCATAAATTCCGTCTTCATGGATGCCTGGATGTTAAACTCAATTGTTACACCTGGTAGAGCAGAACGCTGATCATTTTATTAAAGATGAAAGACTTTAGACAGTTTTTCAACTCTCAGTAATGCCATAGTGATCGTTTGATATATGGACCTGCAGCGGAGTTTAGGCCCAGACACGGCTAGTGACGTCAGACTTAACGACCGGATTATTAGCTCTGATAGCTGGGATCACTACATTCTAATGCAACCTTGTAATAAAGCAGTCCTTCACAGTGGCTCACAGGGAATTTAGAAGGCCAGCGATCCCACTGTACTGTACCATTTTCATGAAAGTGGCTGATTTCACTTTAAGATTTAAATATCAATTAGCAGCAGTAGCAGAATATGTGCTGAGAATGTGTGTCTTCAATTAAGATTAAGGTACATAAATAAAAAGAAGAAGAAAGTGAGTAAGGATGTGTTGTTAACTTTGGCACTGCCCTGTGTTTGTATTGCAGCTTAGAAGGAAATTTATTCTGGTAACCTTTCCGTGAAGTTGCAAGGAAGTGAGAGGACCACTCCACCCAATCTAAAATTAAAAGTTACAAGTTTCACCATGTTGACTCAGTTTTACTATGTCTCCTTTTTCATGATTTAGGAAAGAGCGGTGCCTGCAAATGATTACTGACTGTGGAAAAAGACACTGGAATTTATTGCGTTCGTTCTTGAAATTAGAGATTTCTGCTCAAAGACCCTCAAAGTTCGGGAGGCATTTTTATGCCACTTACTAATAAGCGCAGACATAAAGATTACTTTAGTCTCAGAGAGGATGAGATAACCTGTGACGCTGGAGGTACAAATACATGAGAATCTAGTCAGCTACTGGTTGCATTCTGGAAACCGCAGGGTTCAGATTGACAATTTTTCTGTGACCAAACCAAATGGAAGCTCAATCATGAAATCGCTGCATTTTCGTAACAGAAAGCTCAATAAATAAGTAGCATCTGGTATGAATATGAAATATGACAGAAGACATTCAGTCTTTGGTTTGTTACTAGCTTGAGTCCAGAGGTCATCTCCTCACAACACATGAATCAAAATGACTTTTCTGTAGCGCTACTGGTTATTATTCCCACTTATGAGCCAGTCGAAAAAATCACAAAGTTCAAGTTCCTTTGAGGGAACCCCTGGTTGTGGCGCCAATGGCGGAGGTTCAGACGGAGCCCTATCGAAGCTGCTGGAGGTAGCTTGAGATATATCAAGTGGACCGGGGACAGTGAGCAGGGAGAGCAGAGACACACTGTTTGATGTATTGTCTTGATCATAACTCTGCTTTGAGGAAAAAGAAGGCATGGGTGATGGCTCCAAACCTGAAACGGCTGGAGCTAAAAGAGAAGGAGGAAGAGGATTTTGAAGAGGTGATGGTAAAAAAGTAGACGGTGAAACTGAACTGCGTGGGTTTCCACTAAAGTGACATGGAGGCATTTGGGGCACGCAACCCGGTGCTACTACACCCGCACTTCCAGCCTCTAAATGGGAATAAGGGGGTGTAGCGTCAGCTGTAGCATTTAGAAAAGATGTTTTCTCCTTAAAAAATCCGTCCACTGTGTAACCCATTTCACAGAGGGTGTCTTGCTCCAGTGTGGGCTGCGCAGCTGTGGAGAGCACACCGGAGGGAACGGGGTTTGAAATAAGACCGTCACAGATGGGTATACCATTTGTTGTGCTTGAGGTCATTATAGGTTCTTTGCTAAATAAAGAGTGCGGAGCTGTGTATGTGGTGAAAGATGCTGAATAGGGAACTGTCACTGGGCTGGAGGAAGAGGAAGAGGAGGAATTGAAGAGCTTAGGTGAAGAATGAGCAGAGGAGGCTAATGTTGTGTTAGCTGGAGGAGAGACATGGTTCCTTTTGACGCAGTCAAGGCTCTGAAGTCCCAGGCTGGAGGTCAGAGAGAAGGGGAGCGCAGAGGAAGCAGCCACGGTGGAGTCCGAGGCCTCGGCGATTCCGTGATGGTTGGAGCTGGTCTGACAGTCAGCTGAAGAAGAACCCGCAAGGCTGGAGGGGAGGCGGCAGTAAGGTTCGTGACGCTCCAGCGACGTCGTTAACAGGTGCAGCTCCTTTTTCAATGCAGCGATCTCCTTATGAAGAGCCGAGTTCGAGTGCTCAAGACTCTGGAGTTCCTGAGGAGACAGAGGGCAAAGGGGAATAGGAAGCGATTAAATAAGGGGGTGGGGGAAAAAAGACAAAGCGGAGGGATCAATAGTAAAGAAGAAAAGTCAGGTATATCTTTATTATCCCTAACTGAGGCGCTCACCAGCCATAAAAACTTATTACAGACATACATCAAAGGACAAACAATGAACGCAATCACATGCCACCCACATATCACACCAAGCCTGTGCTGCGCAGTAATAAAACGACACAGCGAAACAATCTTAATGACGCTCCTTTAAGGCTCCGAGAGTGTGCAGCAATAGAAAGCACAAGAGGCATGAAGTGTGGCCAACGCCAGAACCCCAAAGGAGAACTGAAATATTGCTCCTAAGTGACAGCGCTGCAAGATCAGCATGAAACGAGTGGGTAGGCGGTGGAGAGAGAACAAAAAGTGATTCCTTGCTGATAAGTGCAGACTAATGCATGGGACCAATTAGGAAAATTTTGAATTGAAATGTGGCAAAAAGCTTTCTCAATAAACGTGCCTTTTTGGAGCATTTACAACGGTTTTCTTTACATTTAGCGGTAAACTTAAAGCACTTTCGAGATGCTCTTCCTTTTTTTAGTGGTCATATATACATACTGTTACATTGGTGGCCATAGTTTCAAATACATACAACTAATGAACTCAGTCTTTAACAATAAAATTCACTGTTTTTGACTGTTTTTTTCTACTCTTGGATCTGCCGGGGATATGCCTAATATAGTCATCTCGGACAGACTGTGGCTGAAGCCCCATCACCTGCTGCTCAAACCTTCGAGTCGCAAAGAGCAGATAATAATAAGAAATCTGAGTCAGACCTCAGTAAGTTAGGCCTAGAGATCAGCTGATGACCCTCAGTAACCCCCGTTCACTATAGGGGGAAAATAAATGTATATTCCACGACCACCTCTTCGGCTTTGGCTGCTAGCAGAGTCGCCGGTAGTTTGCACAGAAGGCTCCAACTCCTGCAAACACTCGCTAGCTAACCACCAGCCGGCCGATAAACTTGAAACAGTGCGGCGTAAACAAGAAGCAAACAAGAACAAAGACCTTCAAAGTAAAAGTTGTACCTCATCTCTAAAACCAACGCACGTTAAAAGGCACAACTTCTTGACGATGAAGGCAAAGGTTCTCTGTTTTTAGCTGAGGTCACACTTCTTCCCAAATTTCACTACTGCCACAGACAACTCAGCGTCTTCCATAAAAACTAGAGGCCATCTCTGACTAACCAAAGCAAACACAGGGTGATAACACTGACGAAAGGCAATTTCGCCTTAAGGCGATGCCTAAAGTGGGCCGGAACAATCCGGAGCAGCATTCCAGCTCATTCAGTAAAGTACAGAGTAGTTAAATGTGATTGGCAGATTTGACTAATGCATAATGACTAATGATTTCATTTGCAGCCTGCTTTCAGCTGACAGCATGGAGATATCTGCTTAGTTTCCAAAAAAAATGTAGTTCCTAAGAACAGAAGAAAAAGGAGGTCAGCATACAACAGCCTCAAAGATATGAGTGAACAGAGAACAGGAGAAGAAGATGATAAACTGTTTTCAAAGTTAAGAACTTTTCAGCAAGGGACATTTGATAAAATGGAAATCTTACTTGCAGTACTTGAATCTACACATGATTTACTGCTAATCATACTATTTTATCTATATATTGCAAAACTGTGAAGGTTGCATGAAAATAGTAGTCATTGTGGTGCAAGTTACGGTGGCAGAGCCTGCACACACACACACACACACACAAAATCTACTGTTGAGTTCAAAAATTAATATGCAGCTTGTCTCTAAGTGACTATTTTCACCCAGCAGTAAGGTTCCCACAGCTGCCAAATCCCACTTTAACCTCTACACAAAAGAAGAGCTTTTAAAGGAATGGGTGAAACCAGCAGCTACACCAGCCTTTTTGGAGCATTTACAACGGTTTTCTTTACATTTAGCGGTAAACTTAAAGCACTTTTGAGATGCTCTTCCTCTTTTTACTGGTCTTATATACATACTGTTACATTGGTGGCCATAGTTTCAAATACATACAACTAATGAACTCAGTCTTTAACAATAAAATTCACTGTTTTTGACTGTTTTTTTCTACTCTTGGATCTGCCGGGGATATGCCTAAGATTTAACTAAGGATTATTTTGAACTGTGACCCATTCAAATCTACTCTAATGAGCCGTCACTTCAGCACAGCTAACATTCGTCTACTTTTAACATCAAAGTGTAAACTTGACAGTTGCCCTGAAGAAGAGTCAGAGCTGTGCTATGCAGTTGTGAGTCACGGTCTCCGTCCCATTAAACTGTAAGCTGCTGACACAACTTTGAGTTTTTAACAAGTTCGAGTGGCTTGAGGCAACGACACTTCCCAGAACTTCAAGTGAAGCACACACACACGCAGCAGAACTGAAAGAGAAGGAAAGAGGGAAAGCGAAAGTGCGAGTTCCCGACACAAAAAAAGACACGCACACACATTCACACCCATTCATAAATTTGGTACACGCAGACATATTGAGCAGGTTACAACAGGTAGGATGTAATCTAAAAGGAAAATAGAGCTTAGTGGTAGTAAAAGAGCACGAGCTCGGGTGCAGCACAGCAAACCGGTGGTTTTGTTTTCTCTTTGTCAGAATGAGAGTAATTAAACACATTTATGAGCGTGAACCGACGGACGAATCAGATTAGTGACATGACAGGAGAACAAATGCTTCTTTTTACTGCACAGAAACCTGAATTTGTACAACTCAACCTGTTGGTTAAATAGGACTCTGTGGCTTAGGCTCATCCTCATGTCCACTCATACTTTTTTGGAATTGGAAATGGCAAATTTGTTTAAGATAGTATTAGGAAAAAAATTGACCTAGGCTAAAGAAAATTGTACAGAAATATATATACATATGAAGTATGAAGCATAATTATCAAATTATCAAACGAAACTGCAGATCTCATGTGATGGGAGAAATTTTAAAACTATGAGCCAAGTAATCTGGCTGGAATACAGAAGTGCAGTTTAGCAAGATAAGACAAGAGGAACCTATTAAAGGTCTCACAAACAACCAAAGCAGGTGACCAGCGAAGTGAACGCAACACAGGAAGCGTGCTAAGATGCGGCATTCCCACCGTGCTTAAAGATGCACATCAACAGATTAACTGTATGTACAACTGTGTGCCACTGCTTATCAAAATCACCAGCATATGACGATGCACAATAACTTAGTTCCATTTAGCTCTTCATGTTTCAAATCACAGTAAGAAATCTTGAACACCACATTTTTACAATAACCCTTCATAACTGTAATGCATGTATGACCTTGAAACAGTTTTCAGGGCTACGTGCTGTTAGGCTTGTGTGTAAGCACGCGGTCATCAAAGATACTTTAGAAATCTGACTGAGTGCTCTGGGAAGCGTGTCCGTGTGTGCGGATGTGTACCCTGACCTGTGGAATTTGCACCCGCCCCCCAAGGGAGAAAAAAAAGACAGGCAAGTACAGATTGAAAACAAATGCGTCTGTGTGTGTGCGTGTGTATATGTGTGTGTGGATGGCAGACAGGAAAGGGAGGGCTGATAGGGAGGGCAAAGCAGAGGGAGTGAAAGTCCTTCTCCTAAAGCAGGCTATTTACAAGAAACGCCTGCAAGCATGCTGCCAGATTACACAATACGCACGCGCGTGCACACGCACACATACACACACTGCTCATCAAACAGGCTGTGTGAGAAAAGGAGACAGAAAGTGACAGAGTCAGAGGATGACAATGGAAGGAAGCAGAGGGGGAAAGGAGTCAGACCTCATGAAGTTCATCTGCTCTCTCTGTCTGTTTTCTGCGGCTCTTCCTCGCTGCATCCCTGTTCTTCTCCCGTCTTTTTGGCCCTCTGGGTCCCATCTGTTGTCCCCCTCTTTCTCTCTCCTGCCAAAACAACAACAGAATTAAGGAGAAATATCTGGGGTTAATTAGACCGCACAGTGACACAGTGGGCGTTCAAGTATGCACTTCTATTTTGACTTTGGCTTTCTTCTTTTTAAAGGGCGTGTATCGATTTCATTTCGATACCGCGTTTTTGTTTTAAAGGTATAACATGACTTACAAGGTCATGAGACAAACCAATCACATGAGACAGTGCGTGTGGCCCTTCAAAATAAAGCGGGTCAATAATACGTGAAGTGCTTTGATGCAGCGCGTGATGCGAAGCAAAGGCGAGGGCTGACAAACCATATGACAAATAACAAGGAAGATTCTTTTTATTGCACACAATAATTCAGGTCTTTATTAGACTACACCTTCCATTCATTTCGTGAGTTCAATTTTCACTCAGCACAGCTGTTGCTGACTGTTCTACAGGCAGTATATACAATCTGTGTATACTTTGCAAACACACACACGATAACTGCAGTAAATAACCCGAGCCGGACGTGAACTGAGGGTTCAGGGCACCAGAGGTGGAAGACCAATACTCAGTTTAAAAACTAATAACAATAATGATAATTAAGGTACTAATAATTTAAATGAAATTTAAATAAATCACTTATTTTACAAACAGATCTGTTTGGAGGGCTTAAAGTGGATCTGAGTTGATAAATAGTGGTTTTAGAGGCAGTGGATGATGATTATAACTAGCATGACTAATAATTAATACTATATATTACTATATATTGCTGTATATTACTATACAATAATGATAATAATTATAACTTTAGCTTTAATAATATATCATTTTTATTTACAGTGTAAAAATGAAAAAAGCCAGAGGTTCATTAATCAGAAGAGGATCTGACTCAATATAAACAGTGAATGGGTGTTATACCTGTTGTAGCCCATAATTATAACCAATATCGGTGTGAATTTCACATCACATAAGTTTACTCTTAGCATCAACAGCGTGAAAAGGTCCATAGGATGACCTGAATACGGGGATTTGATGATCGAGTCAAGAGACGAGAAAGAGGAACTTACCGATCCTGCAGTACTGCTGGGGCTGGCGGACTCGGACCCGGACCCGGAGTCCATGTATAACGGGGACATCTTGACCCACGCTCCTGCAGCAGACTGGCTCACCTGTCGGCTGGTCGCCTGCGGCAGCACGAGGCTTTCACCTGTCTTGGACCATGAGTGCAGCAGGGGAAGCCGTATCCATTCATACGCGATTATCGGGATATCAGGACAGAGCAGGAGTGCAGGTTACAGAGCAGGTAATGCTGGGACCTGTTGCCGTGCTACAGACTAACATCGGATGTGTTGCTTGGTGACTGTGTGGCGCTGACTGAGGCGCTCAGTCGCTTTATCTGATGACTTATGAGTTCCGCAGGTCTGGCAACAGATGATGCAACATGATGCTGCGGTTCTCTTTCTCTTTCGGTTTCTCTTTATTTTAAACTGACCCGTTGCCTTGCAAAGCTGGAGGGGGTGGGCGTGCTGCTTTCAGGTGCAGCATGTTAGTTTCACTCCCCACACGTGCTTACAAAGTGCATTCGATTTATCTCTCACACGCGCACATTGTTGTGCAGCTTCACGTCACGCAGTAAATCCGTGTTTTTTCTGCTAACATCTCTGACATGTTAGCGTCACACTTTTAAGGTCCGGATTGTGAAAAGACCAACGTGTGAAATCCTAATTTCCGACAGCACGTGAATGCGTTATTTTAAATGGCTGGGGAAAGTTTCACAGGGGCAGGAAGCGCTCGGGTCTGCTGACCATATATAGACTAAGGTGTCTCCTTCCCCACGTGCAGGGAATTTCTAAAGCGGATTGCCAGGAAATTGCTGTCCAAGCCTCCAGAAACAAGCCAGCGCTTAGAAGAGTTCTCGGCAGAAAATGATGTAACTTTCCACAGAAACATTTGAGCTCTGATGGCTTCAGGTCTTCTAAGCCGAGAAGAAAATGGCTAACTCATGGGATTTTCAGAGATACCTGATCCAGCCTGTAGGCTGAAGGGTTTGTTTGTTTTGTCTGCATGTCATTGCACATGTGTATAGTGACAATAAAATGCATTCTATTCTATTTTCTTTCTCTCCTTTAAACTTAGCTTAATATTAGAAGCTGCCCTTATTTACTTTTTTTACACTATTGTCTCAAATTTGAAATGTAACATTTTATCTCTGAGATGTCAAACATTTGGTCCGAGGACCAGACCAGACTCACCAAGGGATCCAATCCGGCTCACTGCAGGGCTTGAAGGGCTGGAAAGTTTAAAATACAACGCATCTGGGAAGTGTTCACAGCACTTCACTTGTTCTACTTTTTGCATTGTTACAGCCTTATTCCAAAATGAATACATTCATTTTTCTCACTTTGTAAATATGGGGTATTATGATTGGAAAAATTAATGTAATCCTTTTTTTTAGTGTAAGGCTGTAAAGTGACAAAAAGTGCTCTAAATACATCCACTGTATGATATATTCGGTTTTTCCTAAAAAAAACAACAAAAAAAACAAACCAAAAAACCCCCCAAATGCTGCTATTCCTGGTGTTAAAGAGTGAAAATGTTTTCCAGCTGAAGTGGTGAGGGAAAGTACCAACAAGGTAGGTGGTGTATCCTCTTGACAGGAAATTAGAAAGGGAAAGTTGGTGGCGAATTAAAGACATACGGGAAAGCATTTGAAGGAAGAGTCTAGAAAAAAAAAGAAAAAGACAAAAAAAAAGTGGGAAATGAACAAAGTGCAATGAAGAACTGAGAAGCTAAGTGTACAGCAAGAAAAAATGTTTAGAGTGCATTGAATTTGAGTCTCGGCAATAAAGGAAGGCGAAAATAACTTGTCAATTGGCTAGACAGAGATCGAGCTGGAACGGATGAGCAGCAGGTTGGGGTGATTAAGGATAGAGTTGGAAATGTGCTAATGAGTCAAGTCAGGGTGTTGACAAGTTGGAAGAAATACTTTTGAGGAACTGATGGGTGTAGAAAATGTAAGAGAGAGTAAGATGGGTGGAACATGGATAAGAAAGGATGAAGTGAGGGCAGCTATGAAGAGAATGAAGAGTGCAAAGGTGGTTCATCCAAATGACATACACAATCAAAGGTTTGGACATACCTTTCCATTTAATGGTTTTTCTTTATTTTTACTACTTTCTATATTGTAGATACATCAAATGTTATTAAGCAAGATATATGGAATTATGTAGCAAAGAAAACATTGATAAATAGCTCTAAATATGTTTTATATTTTAGATTCTTGAAAGTAGCCACGCTTTTCTTTGTTGACAAATGTTTTTTCTATCACAGGTCTGCCTTGTCAGGGTTCATTTGTGGAATTTCTTGCCTTCTTAATGCGGGGTTGGGACCATCAGTTGTACTGTGCAGAAGTCAGGATGGTACACAGCTGACTGTCTTATTTGACAACTGTTAGAATTCATTTTACGGCAACCAATCGCATAAGTGAAACGATAGTCTGTAATTTCTTTAAGATCTGAATCTAAGTCAGCCAAAATTTGAATGTGTCCCAAAGTGGAGTTACAAAAACCATCAATCGCTCTGGTGAAACTGGCTCACACGAGGACCGCCCAGGAAAGGAAGACTAAGAGTCATCTCTGCTACTGAGGAAAAATTCATCTGAGTCAGCAGCCTCAGATTAGAGCCCAGATAAATGCCACACAGAGTTCCAGTAGCAGACACATCTCTACATCAAATGATCAGACTGCACGAATCAGGCCTTTATGGTCAAATAGCTGCTAAGAAACAACTCCAAAGAAAAGCAACAAGCAGAAGAGATTTGTTTGGGCGAGGATACAGAAGGATTCAATTCAATTCAATTCAATTTTATTTATATAGCGCCAAATCACAACAAAAGTCGCCTCAAGGCGCTTCATAGATAAAGAGAAAAACCCAACAATCATATGACCCCCTATGAGCAAGCACTTTGGCAACAGTGGGAAGGAAAAACTCCCTTTTAACAGGAAGAAACCTCCGGCAGAACCAGGCTCAGGGAGGGGCGGGACCATCTGCTGCGACCGGTTGGGGTGAGAGAAGGAAGACAGGATAAAAGACATGCTGTGGAAGAGAGACAGAGGTTAATAACAGATATGATTCAATGCAGAGAGGTCTGTTAATACATAGTGAGTGAGAAAGGAGACTGAAAGGAAAAACTCAATGCATCATGGGAATCCCCGGCAGCCTACGTCTATTGCAGCATAACTAAGGGAGGATCCAGGGTCACCTGGTCCAGCCCTAACTATATGCTTTAGCAAAAAGGAAAGTTTTAAGCCTAATCTTGAAAGTAGATAGTGTCTGTCTCCTGAATCCAAACTGGAAGCTGGTTCCACAGAAGAGGGGCCTGAAAACTGAAGGCTCTGCCTCCCATTCTACTTTTAAATACTCTGGGAACAACAAGTAGGCCTGCAGAGCAAGAGCGAAGTGCTCTAATAGGGTGATATGGTACTACAAGGTCATTAAGATAAGATGGGGCCTGATTATTTAAGACCTTGTATGTGAGGAGCAGGATTTTGAATTCAATTCTGGACTTGAAGCCAATGAAGCGAAGCCAAAACAGGAGAAATATGCTCTCTCTTTCTAGTCCCTGTCAGCACTCTTGCTGCAGCATTTTTGGATTAGCTGAAGGCTTTTCAGTGAGTTTTTTGGACATCCTGATAATAATGAATTACAGTCGTCCAGCCTGGAAGTAATAAATGCATGAACTAGTTTTTCAGCGTCACTCTGAGACAGGATATTTCTAATTTTAGAGATGTTGCGCAAATGGAAGAAAGCAGTCTTACATATTTGTTTAATGTGTGCATTGAAGGACATATCCTGGTCAAAAATGACTCCAAGGTTCCTCACCGTGTTACTGGAGGCCAAGGTAATGCCATCCAGAGTAAGAATCTGGTTAGATACCATATTTCTAAGATTTTCAGGGCCGAGTACAATAACCTCAGTTTTGTCTGAATTAAGAAGCAGAAAGTTAGCGGCCATCCAGGTCTTTATGTCTTTAAGACATTCCTGCAGTTTAACTAATTGGTGTGTGTTATCTGGCTTCATAGATAGATAGAGCTGCGTGTCATCTGCATAGCAGTGAAAATGTATGCTATGTCTTCTAATGATGCTGCCTAAGGGAAGCATGTATGATGTAAACAGAATTGGTCCTAGCACTGAACCCTGTGGAACTCCATAATTAACCTCAGTGTGTGAAGAGGACTCTCCATTTACATGTACAAATTGGAGTCTATTAGATAGATATGATACAAACCACTGCAGTGCAGTACCTGTAATACCTACAGCATGTTCTAATCGCTCTAATGGGATATTATGGTCGACAGTATCGAATGCTGCGCTAAGGTCTAGCAGGACAAGCACAGAGATGAGTCCACTGTCAGAGGCCATAAGAAGATCATTTGTAACCTTCACTAAAGCTGTTTCTGTGCTGTGATGAGCTCTGAAACCTGACTGAAACTCTTCAAATAAACCATTCCTCTGCAGATGATCAGTTAGCTGTTTGACAACTACTCTTTCAAGGATTTTTGATATGAAAGGAAGGTTGGAGATTGGCCTATAATTAGCTAAGACTGCTGGGTCTAGAGATGGCTTTTTGAGGTTTAACTACAGCTAGCTTGAAGGCCTGTGGTACATAGCCGATTATTAGAGATAGGTTGATCATATTTAAGATCGAAGAATTAATTAATGGCAGGACTTCTTTCAGCAGTTTTGTAGGAATGGGGTCTAAAAGGAATGAACATTAGACCGGTGGACATCTGTGCTTTGGTCTGATGAGTCCAAATTTGAGATGTTTGGTTCCACTTGCTGTTTCTTTGTGCAATACAGAAAAGGTGAATAGATGGTCTCTATGTTCATGGTTCCCACCGTGAAGCATGGAGAAGGAAGGTGAAGATGCTTTGCTGGTGACAGTGTTGGGCATTTACTGAAAGCTGAAGGCACACTGAACCAGCATGGCTACCACAGCATCCTGCAGCAACATGCCATCCTATCGGGTTTGCCTTTAGTTGGACCATCATTTATTTCTCAACAGGACAATGACCCCAAAACACACCTTCAGGCTGTGTAAGGGCTATTTGACCAAGAAGCAGAGTGATGGAGGTCTGCACCAGATGGCCTGGCTTCCACAGTCACCTGACCTAAACCCAATGGATGGTTTGGGATGAGATGGACCTCAGAGTGAAGGCAAAAGGCAAAAAAGTGCTCAGCATCTCTGGGAACTTCTTCAAGACTGTTAGAAAACCATTTCAGGTGACGACCTCATGAAGCTCATAGAGACAATGCCAAGAGTGTGCAAAGCAGTAATCAAAGCAAGGGGATGCTATTTTGAAAAACATGTTTTGAGTTATTTCACACTTTTGTGTTCACTACACAAGTTGATGCCTTCAGTGAGAATCTACAATGTAAATAGTCATGAAAATAAAGAAAAAAGATTAAATGAGAAGGTGTCCAAACTTTTGACTAGTAATGTACATGTGGAGAAGTGTAGCTACTGATTTAGAAGAAAATGGTAATGTGCAAAGCTGTAGTAACTACAGAGAGATAAAGCTGATGAGCCATACCATAAAGCTACAGGAAAGATGTGCTGAAGAGTTGCTGAAGCTAGGTTAAGAACAGAGGTGACGATCAGTGAGCAGCAGTATGGAGAGTAAGAGCACTACAGAGGTGTTGTTTGCTTTGACAGTGTTGATGGAGGAGTTTAGAGAAGGTCAGAAGGAGTTGCACTGTGTTCTTAAGGATCGAGAGAAAATATAGGATAGGTCAGACGAGAGGAACAGTGGTGCTGTATCAGGAAGTCAGGAGGGTGGTGCAGGACATGTATGAGGACAGTGAGCCAGGGGATAGGATTACCATCTTGCCCCTTCTTGTTTGCAGTGATGATGGGCAGGTTGACAGATGAGGAGCCAGAAGTCTCCAGCAACTCTTATGTTTGCACATGACATTATAATCTGTAATGAAAGCAGGGAGCAGGTGGCGGTATGCTCTGGAGAGAAATGGTAAATGGCCTGTATTTGTATAGCGCTTTTACTAGTCCCTAAGGACCCCAAAGCGCTTTACACAACCAGTCATCCACCCATTCACACGCTGGTGATGGCAAGCTACATTGTAGTCACAGCCACCCTGGGGCGCACTGACATAGGCGAGGCTGCCGGACACTGGTGCCACCGGGGCCAGAGAAGAGTAATTAAAGTCAGTAGTGAAAGTGAAAACTGTTCTAAAATAAGCTGACTGCTTAGGAACGCTGCAGAAGTACAGAGTGTGAAAAACAGCATCACTATCAATCACAAA